CTGTAACATTTTACACAGATAAATTAACAGTGGCGTCCCTAGACCCTTTTATAAGGGGGGGGGCGAACTATATACATTACCTATATATATATGAAAATACACCAATTACTAGGTGTTTTACCTGATTTAACTCGGAGTATCTAATATCATTAGGGCATCTGACATAGGCATAGTTATAGATACAAAAAACAAAGTTTAATTAACAGAGTCACAGTATTAAAATATTTTTGTACATATTAAATTATTTAAATGTAAATTAATGAATATTAACACACAAAACAAATATTATTTTTTATTGATTAGATCATCTAATTAAGATGTATAGTAAAAAAGCAACAAAAAAAAATGTACAAATCAAAGAATAAAATCGATTCTGTGTTTAGATTTAGCAAAGCGATTAATTATACTATCAATATCTAAAGGCACATTGCATATATTTTTTTCCTAGTGTTATATTTTAATATAAACAATGAATATTTTAAGAAAGAAAATAAAGGTTATGGAGAGGGCGACTGCCCTATTCACCCCCCCCCTTGAGGACACCCCTGTAAATTAATCGTTAATTAATAAATATAAGACCATACCCATTGTGAGACGTATAAATAATGTTAATACGATTAGAATTTTTTAAACATGCGATAAACGTCGTCGGGGGCTAAATGATAACGCGTTGTATAAGTCGTTTCATGTTTTTATTTTAAACAGCCAACGTTCATATAATGTATATAAAAATCAGTTTTATATCAATAATGTTATTTCAAATCTTTTAATAAAAATTTCAATTATAAAAATTCCTTCATACCGTACACGAAGCACAATTATTGTAATATAATTATCGTAGAAAGTAATACCTAGTAGTAACGTCAAATCCTTGATTGATAAATGTTCACAAGTTCAATCAAATATATAATTAATAACTTAACAAAATATATGCCTATTTAGCGTACAATAATATTGTTGGTAATATTTATTATACAGTATTATGTTATATATTTCATAACAGGTAATGTTATTTGCGGGTTTTCAACCTACAAAATATTATTTACGTTCATATAAATCCTGATTTTGCTGTTCTACGAGTCCGAAATTTGGATGTTAATATGATTTAATTTAATTGGTAAAAAAAACACACACTCACATAATACGATATAATAAAGTAAAATATCATATTCAATTTTCCGTGGAAAACGTTTCCCTGGCACCCATAGAGAGAAGTCGATTTTTCTGTAGGAAATTCGTTGGTACAAATTCTGAAATTAGTGGTATAAATTGGTACAAATCATGGTACAATTAATGGCGCAAAAAAAATGTGGAATAGTTCATTAGGTGTGACTTCGGGTGCCAGGGAAACGTTTTTCTGGCACCCCTGAAGAGAAATCGATTTTTTCGTGGGAAATTCGTTGGTACAAACTCTGAAATGAGTTGTACAAATTGGTACAAATTATGGTACAATTAATGGCACAAAAAAATTATAGATTTTTCAACATTGTGTTGTCAGGGAAACGTACCTATTTTCACTGGGCGACAAAAAATGTTTTTCTCAAAATAGTCAAGGTGTAATGCGCTCTTCGACCAAAAGTAAATTATTAAAATTACAACCAAATGGTTTATGGTTGATTTCAGAAATTTGCTTAAATACATAATCCATATCAACTAAACGTCGACCCTCAACATTAAATCTAAAAACAAAAAAACTATTGGAAAAATTGCAAGCAAGTGAATATACCGTATATATATATACATATAACTTACAATTGGTTAAGACCAAAGACACGTTTTTATCAGTAGAATGGCTACACGTTGGTGTATCTAATTTTTTAAAACTGCATTGTGTTTAAGAAACATTTTCTGTTTTATTTTTTAAGCCAAAACTAAACATAGGTAAATAAAAGAAATAATTAATATTTCATGAACATTATTACGTATAATTAATGTATTAATTTGTTTAGAATATGATTCACTAACCACTGTATAGTATATTACTATAGTAGTAACCGTGTTCTATTTTTTATACATATAGTACTTACCTCATATGTTTCCGTCCTTTTTTCTTTCGATAAGTTGTTAAATTTTTTTTTTTTATTTGAATATTTTTTTTTTGTTTTTCATATCTAGTATTATTTGCAACAAAATAAAAAAAACACACACAATTCGTCATATAATATGTTATATTGGATTGTAAATAAGAGTCGATCGTAGAAAGTAAGCGACTTCATCAATTATTGTGATCTCCAGTTGATAATAATAATAAACACAATTCATAACAGTAATTCTATGAAACGATAACACATGGACTAATAAGACGTATAATATACAAATAGATACACATACGATAACGCGCAGTCAGTGTTATTATCTAAATTTATCTTATAGCTCACGCACACTAATATCAATTTACACACTCACATTCATGCACGGTTGGTGCGCCGCCGATACAACATGTGAATTTAATTGCCTAAATTTTACTCCTTAATAAATGACCAGCACCGACCCCCTTAACCAATCTGTAAAAGAATCTGTGGATCATGGCAGTTCTTGATCAATGTGTCTGAATCAAAAGTTGACAAATTACCAATATCAAAAAGAAACCCAAAATAATTTTGAAAAATATCCAATTGGGTGAATCTTTGATTTATTGGATATTTACATTCAATTACAATTCCTTAATAAAAAAAAAAAATCATTGACAAAAGATTCTTCTTGATTTTTTGAACATGACATAGAAGAGAATTCATAACTAAACATTCTTTTCTTTAAACTTTTTCTTTTTTATTTAAACTGTGGTTCTATATTTATTTGTTTACAAATATGTATAACTTCTTCTTTTGATTCATTTAATCCATTTTCTCGATACATATTTAAAAACCATTTCAAGCATTTCAAATTTTTTATAACAAAATCCATTGAAATATTTTCATTTTGCAGTTTTACTTAATTTATTAATACTATTTAATAAATTATACCATATTATTGAACTTAGCACAAATTCGTAAGACATTTCATGTTCAGCAAGAGAAACAAGAAAGTTTCACTTTTAATTGGCGGTATTTTTGTAGATTCACTAATTTCTATTAGAGCTCCATTTATTTCTTTGAGTTGTATTTTCACTACCTTAACAGATTCTAATCAGCATTCCCATCGAGTCTCAAATAATTGTTTCAAAGTTAAAATTTGAAATGTTCTTTCAAAATTTCCCAACGCTCTGTAGAAGCAGAAAATAGTGTATAACCTTCCTATCGCTTCAAAAAAGGTCATAACTTATAACAATTTGCCATATCTCCAAAATAATAATCATAAATTATTAATCACATGTTGTTTATATAAAAAATAAAAAAAGTATAGTAACTAAAAAACTTACCAAATAAAATATTTAATGAATGAGCACAATACAGCAAGAACAATGTTCTAGGATTTTCATTTAAAATTCTAGCCAGTACTCCTTGTTTATATCCAACCATATTTGCACTAATGTTGTAGCCTTGGCCACAAAAATTTGATAAACATACATCTAAATTCGATAATTCTTGCTTTAAAAAATCAAACAATCATAATTCTGTTTTCAGAGTTACATGTAAAAATTTTAAAAAATATTCTTTCGCTGAAACATTATTATTAGTTTTTGTTATAAGTACAATTCCGATTATAAATGTTAATTGTTTTTTATGAGATACATCAGGAGTTGTATCAAGCATACTGGTATAGTATTTCGCTTTTTTAATATGTGGTACGATTTCTGTTCTTATTTTATTTCCAGTGTATTAATTCAGTTTGTATCCTGGGTCCCAAATAATGTCGTTGAATTTCTTTATTTTTTATATTTTTCAAATGTTCAGCTATAAGATTATTAAATATTTACTATCATTTAGTTAAAAAAGTTTACCATTTGATTTTGAATAAATGGTAAAGTTTTTTCCTCTTAATGCGTCGTTTTGTCGACTAAGTTAATATTGCAAGCTTTTATTCTTTTCAATACTGTTCTCAAACGGACTTTTTCAGTTTGAATTTCTTTTTGTACATCACTGTCTAAAGTTTTACCAATATTTATACACCATGATAATTCTAACTATTGTTGATTAGACTTTTTATGATAAATTGAAGAATCATGGCTTATTTGTTCAGATAAATATTTCTAGTAATTGAAACCATCAGTAAAACTAATTTTATTCTTAGGATTTGGGAACAATCAACATGAAAAACAAAATACATTAATTTTTTTTGGTTATATATTCATGGTCTTATTACCTTTTCACCATTAAACAGTTTTGTAATAATAGTTTTCAGAGAATGATCTTTGTTCCTCATTCATTGGAAATTTTAAATTTTTTACTTGAACTGCCCCTTTTTTTTATGATACTTGAATAATATTGCTTATCTATATATAATCTTATCTATCTAATCTGATGGCCAACATTTATATCGAAGAGCAACAATGCCATTTCTCTCCATCAAAAATGTTCGGCCATTATTACATTTCTTATAAGAAAATTTCTAATTCTTTGACAGATTTTTTATCGAATGTAAGCAACCAGAGTAATGGATTTTCTGTTTTAAAGCATTTAATAAGCATAGTAGTAAGCATTTACAAATCAAATAAAATGTCTGTCCATACTCTGAAAAGAGATATTAAGCATAATATGTTAAGACTACGTACCGTATATTGTAAAGACTATTCACAGGTTTTTTTCTTGCATTCAAACTTAATGTAATTAATACATATTCCACTGTCAAGAATAAAAGATTATAAAAACACTTGATTGTTGTATTATTAACATAATACGACTCAACATACATAGAAAACAACTAATTTTTAATTAAAAAAAAATATAATAGTTATGTATAATAAATTACAGTTAAAGTTAATTACAATTATAAAAATATTTTTAAAATATACATATATATGTAAATTTATATACACATAAATACATATATACAAGCTGTGAAATATTTATTTATAAAGACATATTTATAAAATTAAAAAATAAATTAATCTTAATTCACAGCACTTAAGAGATATTATATAAAATCTAAAAATAATTAGTTTGTTTATTACACAGATATTTAAAATTTATTGTAGGTTTCATTTGCAATATCTTCTACTGCAAGTAATTCAGTTCTGAAAAAAAAAATTAGATATTATTATAAAATATTGGAATATTATTTGACTGTATAATTTACTGACAAAAAAATGTAATTAAGTTGACTACCTAATTTATATTATTAGACAATTAAAATTTTAAAGTGATATAATAATTAATCTTAAAACAATTAATTGTGAATTGATTACAATTTAAACAGGGAATATCTATCATGAATAAATCATCCATTTAATCAGTATTAACATTATTATAGAAAACATAGGTACTTTGGTTTTTTAAAAGTTTGGTTTAAAATACTTTCTGGCGGTTCTTCTTGAATGGGTTCATGTACCTGTAAAAATTATACACATTAATATTAATTTTAGAATTTTTAATAATATTTTAACACATTAGTTTAACCATAACCATTTCTTAAAGTAATCAGAATGTGATGTTTAATGATTAGTAAAAATGAGATTACAAAATTTGTGTAATCACAACTAATAATAATAAATTGTTTATATTTGTTGTTCCAATTTGTTGTATTTTGTACAAATACATATATATATGTATTTATTAAGAAATAAAAACATAATTATAATATAATTATGTTTGAAATGTGATATAATTGTTCACCATATTTGTAATTTTTATTACAAGAACCAAATACAGCCATTTAAGTATATTGTATTTTAAAAATAAAAAATAAAATTGATGATTTAGTCTGTCACATTTATATTCTTAGTTATGTTAAAAAACTTGAACAATATCTATCGACCTTATAACTTAAATGTTCAGTATTCTAAACTATTTCCTCATTATAGACATACAAGTATTTTAAACTATCGAGAAATAATATATATAACATATTCACTGCAGGTCTAGTAATAAATTAAATTAAATATATCAATGCAACCATAAACACATAAAACTCAACTTTTAAATTGATCTGACACATAAAAGAAAACACCATATTCAAAACAAGGAAATTGCCCTAAACAAAGGTGATCAGATATTATAAGTAAATAAGATTATTAAGGATGAATAAGAACTTAAGAAGTATATATATTACATGTTATTTAAGCATTGAAATTAAATAGGTACTAGTAAGAAAAAAAATATTTTAAATATCAAATAATAAAATAAATGTTTTCAAAATGAAAAAATAAAACTCACAGGTGAACATCTATTATTGCATACACTTATTGAGCATTTACAGTACTTGGAACAAGACTTATTCTTTTTTTGACATGAACAAATATTTTTTAGGCAATTTTTGATACATAAACACATGGATTCTCCTTTAGCATTTCTTTTTAAGTTTACACGATTTTCTTGGTCAAAAGAAGGTTCAAACATTCTGCTCTAAAGTTATACATACAATTAAGGTAAATTAGCATTTCAGTATGTAGTTAATAATATTTAATATATAGTGTTTAATAATGATACGTGTAATACAACAATAGCCTGCATTATTATAAACTTACTTCTCTCTTTAACTTGTCTAAACGTCGTCGTAAAGGAGTAACATCATCAATATTTTCTTTAGTATCATCATTTTCAATGTTCTCCTTGAATAATAATAATAATAATAATAACAATGATAAAATTAATTTTTTTTTTTTTTACTTACAGGTGTAATTGGAGAAAACATTTTGTTTGATTTTGAACGATGTAAACCATTGTTTACAACTGTTTGGAGATCTAAAATTAATTTATCTTTTTGATTCAATTCTTCTTTTAGTTGTTCTACTTTACTAAATTGGTCATCAAAGATTCTTAGTCGTTCAAAATATTCATTACAATTGCTACCAGAAACTGTTTTTTCTTTTTCATTTAATTGTCTCAATAAAATTAAAATCTAAAATTTTTATCAAAATAGTTAATCATTTCTGAAAAACAATGGTTATAATATATTTATATTTATTATTACATTATCTTCATACTCCTTTTGAAGATCCTCTATTTGCTTTTGGTGCTTATTTATTAAATCTAATTTTTTTTTTTCTGCTATGTTAACATTGTCTTTTGCTTCAAGTAATAATGCCTGAAAAACAAAATTATATTTTAAATAATCATCTACATACAACAATGTTGAAAACTTAATATATATATATATATATCATGTTTTAGATTAATTTTTAATATAATTAAATACATAAAAATTAATGCAAAAATTGTCTTACTTTAAGTTCTTCAACTTGACTCTGTAATTCTAACGTAGCTCTTCGATTTTCAGCAGCAACATGGAATACATGTTTTAAGGCAGTTTTTGTATCAGCAATAGTAGATAAATAATCAAAACGATTTTTTTTTATAAGTTCTACAGTAACAAAAATAAATTTGTTTCTACCATATTTAATTTGAAAACATTAACAATAAGTATAATAATTATTAATCAATAACATTATATTTATTAAGGTAAGAAAATAACTATAAACTTATCATAATTAAGTTTCTAAAAACTAAAGTTACTAAAAATTAATTTCACTAGCATTTTAAAAATTTTAGTTGTAAAAAATATAGATATTAATACAATGAAATTTACCAGACAGCATTTAATACAATATTTTTTTTTATTTAAATTTTTATATTCATAGTAATCTCAGAATACTCAAAGAACAATTATACTTTTACAAGAAATCTCATTTATTAAGTTATATTGTTTTTTTATTTAATAAACAAAAGAAAATTATGTTAAAAATTGTTTTTATATCTCGCAAAAAAATTTATTTCAAATTGTATAATTCATATGAAGTTGAAAATCACTTTATATAATTTAGTATTATACTTTATAACTTCAAGTCAATTTATATTTATTAATAATCATATTTTTTTAAATTATAAACTTTATGTAATACTAACCTTCATTACTATCAAATATTTTTTGTCTCAAATCCATTATTTGAGCGGACCTTAATTCTAGTTCTCTGGACATTTCTGTTTTATCCATCTTCAAACCATATTTAAATTCTTCAGTAAGTCCAGTTGTTTCTAATTGTTCCTAAACAATATAAGATGGTCAAAAAAAAAGATGTTTTAAATGTTAATGTTTTTTTCTTTTTTTACTTCACATCTTTGCATCATTTTAAATATGATTTCTCGGTCAACTTCCAATTGCTCTAAAGTTTTTTGTGCATCAACTGTACTCAATAAAACATCTAATTCTTCATTTACCCATTTTTGGATTCGTTGAGCTTTAGGCATAAATGCTTCATCTCGTTTCACTTCAATAGCTTTCCGAACAGCAAGAGCATCCTTACATTAATTAACAATAATATAACAGAGACAACTAATAACATTAAATAGGTAAATAACATAATAATCATAAGAAATTAAATAACATATAAGATTATTAAAATATCTCTAAAAATATATAAAAATAAACAATTTAGAGATATTGAATTTTTAATGGAATATATTTGTTGTAAATTTCCTTCAATTTTAAGTTTTTGTGATCGACTACATTTAATATCTAAATCAATTACTTTGAGTCTTTTGTTAACATTTGCTGCCTCTTCCAATTTACGTTTCAGTGCAGTTTGCTGTCTATCATGTAGTTGTTCCATACGAATGATTTGATGTTTTTGTTTTCTTTCATGTTCTTTCAAACGACAAAGTTCTCTATCTCGTTCTAACTTAAACTGCCTGAACTTTTCATTATCACTTTTCATTTGCTGGATAAGTTTTACTTTCATAACTTTAATACTCTAAAAAAAAATAGTATTTTAAATAATATGTATTTACAATAATGGGGCAGGGAGAGTAATTCAACAAATATTATATTATTTATTAGACAACTAAACATTCAACAAAACTCATTATTTTATGTGTTATTTTTTATGAATTGTATGATAGATGCCTATTATATAATATTTATACTTTCTGCTCTATATAAATATTTCTGTTTTTGATATTATTTAACCAACCTTTATTTCATTATTTAAATTTTCTACTTTTTTATCATTTTTAGCTTTCATTTTAATAATTCGATCTTGTTCTAAACATTTTTTAGTTAGATTTGCAATTTTTTGTTCAAGTTCTTGCAATTTTTTACGTCTTTGTTCTGATAATCTATTAATAATATTAAATAGATATTAAATGTGATAATACTATCTCAATTAAAGGTGCAAAAAAGTTTGATATACTTAGAATTAATATTATTTGTTTGAGCAGCTTTTAAAGCTTCTTCTAATTGGTCACGTTCTTGTTTTAACTGTTCAAGTTTATTTTTCAATTCTTCAGTATTCTCTTCAGGGCAATATTCGCCAATATGTGAAACAGATTCTACAAGTTTAGCGGCTAAATGCTCTTTCATAGCTAGTTCCTTATTCAGTTTGTTCAGTTCACGATTCAATTGAATAGTTTCCATAACCATTAGCTCTTTAGTTTGATCAGTTTCATTATCTGACTCGGATATCTCATCATCCACCTCTTCAGAAGCAGTAACATAATCATCACCTGTTATTTCAACTTCAGTACGATTATGTTCATCCTAACAAAATATTTTTAAATATTAATTAGAAAAAAACCAAAATCAGTTTTAAAACATACCATAATTGAACCAATTTTATCTTTGATATTTTTAAATTCTTCTAAATCATTGTCTTTTAAAGCATTTTCAAAATTTAATTTTAATTCTAAAAGATTTTTTTTCATTGTATCACGTCCAGTCTCGGCCTATGATTGCATACAATTATAAAAATATAAAACGAAAATATAAATATAAATAAATAGTTACCAATAATGCTTTCATGTTTAATGATGCACTTTGTGTCATGTATTCACTTAATACTTGACTCATGGCACGGGTTTTCTCCAATAATTCTTTATTTGTTTTTAGCAAAGTGTTATGTTCTGGTGGACAAGAACCAAAACCATTAGCTTCCATTGCAACTATTTTTAATTTTAATTCACGATTCTAAAATAAATTGAAAATGTTAATTTTGATTATTATTATTATTATTATTATTATTTATTTATTTAAATTACTTCTTTAGAAAGTGCAGAAATCTGAGCAGTAATTGGATCTTGGTTAATAATAGGCTTATTTTTAATTTGTAATGCTCTATTAGCATACCGTAAAGTGCTCACACTTTCATCCATATTATAGTCTGCTGGACTAATACATGCAATCATCAGTGTAACAGAATTTCCACCCAGAGAATCTAAAAATACTCAATTATTAATGAGAAAATATTTGTTTTATTTATATTTACCTTGCAGTAAGCGGGTAAGTTTACTATCTCTGTATGAAATGTGAGCAGATTTGTCACATAATGATGTAATAACATTTCCTAATGATAATAGCCCCTTATTAATATTAACACCTTCCCTAAATCTTTCTCCAGTAGCTTTTGTTTTTTTACTTCTTTCTGATCCAGCCAAATCCACAAGATGAAATTTAGCAGTAGTATTGTCCCTAAAATAAAAATGTATTATATAGTAATAAGTATTAATTAATTTACCAAAATAAATAATTTACCCATTTTCTCGTATTTGACTTATGGTTAACGTAAATATACAATGACTACGGGAAGATTGAGCATTCATTGCAGTTGCCCCAGTTGCTCTACCGTTAGAACCCTAAGAATAAGAAAGCATTTTAACTACATAGAAAATAATTATTATTTAAAATTTGTACAAAATATTTAATATATAAAAGCTCACCTGTATCAAGCATTGGAGAGTAGAAGATAAATCAGTAACCCTCATTTCAGTTAGACCTGGTATACATATTCCACGGCCATCTTCTCTAATATCAAGAGTAGCTCTTGTAGGAGATAAAAGGTCATACACTTGTTCTTGATACAACTATAAATGTACAATACAAATAATATTAATATATTTGTATACATTTAATACAGTATATTTTTAAATGCTTCACTAGATGGACTAAAAATCCCTTTACACAAGTTAATATGTTACTAAAGCCAACACTTCCCAGGAAGAGAGTGTAACAACTTGGATCAGGAATTTTAATGCTAAATCAAGAACTTGAAGTTATAGCATTACAGCAATATATAAACACTTTGCTGTAGCCAACAATGATATATATGGAATACAAATTATATTCCTGCTTACTTTCAATTCAAAAAACTTACAATCAGATTTACTACAAAACTTACAAACATAATAGAAAAACTATTTCCTATGGCTCCTCAACCCTATTATTTGCCCGATTTGAGTCCTTGTGCCTTTTTTCTTTTCAAGATTAAAAATTTACCTCAAAGGACGACGTTTTGAGATACTAAAAAACATTCAAAAACCTTTAACCCTCCTAACCTGTAACTCTCAAATTGAAAACTTTTTGAGTAACTAAATTCCAGAACTCTTGAAAACAATCAAAACTTCAACTCCAGTGCTGTGTGGATTCCCAATATAATTATTTTGAAGGAGATAATATAAAATAGTTATTTAAATTCAATAAAAAAAAAAAATTATATAAAATCAGTCTCATAATTTTATTTACACACCTCATACAAAGACATACTTGGGGTGAGTAAAGTTTAATGGTCAGGAAATGGTGATTTCTCTAGCAATTTTGCAAAGAAATGGCTGTGTATATTCCATCAATATGATAGTATGATAAAAGAATCAGTATTTTTCTCAACAGCTACAACCGGTTGTTGGAGTATGAAAATTTAAATGTATTGATAATTGATTTAATTATTAACTACATTTTTAAGTAATTTTAATTTCAAAAAGTCAATAAAATTTGAAAATTTGAAAACTAGTTATTATTGTAATTAATGATAACTAATAAAATTAGAGTCTAACATTTAAAAATCTAAAGAAAATACATTAAATAATATTAATACTTCAATAAATGATGCACTTATGGAAAATTGTGCTTCTTCTTTTAGTTTTTGTACTTCATTGAAAATATTTTGAATAGCTCGTGGAATAATACCTTTTTCTTCTTCTTTCTCATCATCCACAAAATTTGTACCCATTGAGTGGGTTTTACCTGATCCAGTTTGTCCATATGCTAATATGGTAACATTATATCCTAAGAAAAAATACATAAATTAGAACTAATTGTTTCACAAACAATACTATATATTGTTATGATATCCTTTAATCTACAAAATAATTTCTTAAACTAAATAATATTACACTGGAACAATAAGTTAATATATTATTTCTTTATGTGAAACAACAGAAATTCCAACAATATATTAATAAAATATTAACATGATTTAGGGAATAAAAACTAATTATTAATCAAAGAAAACATTTTTTACACTTAAAAAAAAAAATACCTTGTAATTAGAATTGAATGACTTTTAGGAAAAGTTGCAAAGTAAAACAGTGTTTAATCAACAAAAGAAGACTCTCAAAATCTATTTAACAATATATTGTTTCGTAAGAAACAGGAGATTCACAACAATAATAGTCAAACATCTGACTGGACAGTCAACTTATCTATACATTATTATTATTAAGCCTACAAATTTCAGAGGTTCTAACATTTTAAATTAAAAGTACCAATATAAAAATATGAATTTTATATTAAAAAAACAAATCATTAAGATATATTTCCATCCTACAATTTAGAAATCGAAAACTATAAAATATAGCAGATTTTAAAATCAAATTACAAATGTAATAAATTATATATTTATAAATATAATAATTTAATACAATAAAATAGATTTAATTATAAATAAAAATATTCAGAAATAAGAATAATGTTTTCTGTATCAAAAACTATATTCCCACTTAAAAGGAATGTTAAATTTATAATTTTATTCCTTTACTGACAGAGAAAAATAAATTAAACATATAACTTTAGAATTTTTAATTTCTAATCAAATTTACAAGTATAATATACAAATAATGGTATAATTTATTTTATAAATATCAATGTATTGAAATTAAAAATTGAATTATATATTTCATAATTTAAGTAAATAAGTTTATAAGATAGATTAATTATATCGATTATAAATAAATATAAATAACATAAATTAATTGAAATTAGATAATAAAATATACAAGAGAAACATTGATTAAAACAAAAATTAAAAAAAATTCAAGTTATTAATTAGTCAGTAAAGAAATTTAAAGCTACTGAAATAATTCTATCAAAAAAAAAACATAATTTATAAAAAATGAATTATACTCGTAAAAAATATGTCAAGGATTACAAAAAATTTGAATTAGAGTTCGGTTGAAAAAATGCTCAAAATAAATGTATAAAATGACTATAATGTGAATAATTTGTAAAGTTCCTAAGTGTATGCCATGTTTTTTTGATACTCATTAAGTTAAATTTAAAAATAAATTAAAATAATACTTAATGTTTAGATGTTTCAATTATAAAATATTGCTGATTATTATTATAATGTATGTTCAAGTGCAAAGTTATTAGGTACCTAAGATAAAAAGGAATTTTGTTGTAATTTTTATAGTATTATACATTTTGTAATTGAAAGATCATCAATTATTTTTACAAAAAGGGATATGGCTAATTAATTATGTTTTTACAACTATAAAAATTAAAAAGCCTGTTATTTACCTATCCTCCTGGCGCCTAATGTCCATTTCAATGGACATTTATATAAATGTGCCCCAAGTGCCAGGCCATTTTTTTTTAAATTTACATGATATGATGTTATAACCCCAAAATAGATATGATAAGGAACAATAATAAATAATACAAACATTTTTATCGTAATCCTATCACATATAAAATATTCGCTTAAAAGTATCTATTACAATGGACATTAGGTAATTGTTACTACAACAAAGTTTTAATTTTACGCTGTTAAGATTTTTATTTAAAATAATTAATTTCTTAAATTATAAATAATCTGGTTGACCACGATTTATTAATTAAAATTCTAAATTATTTTTTATGGAAATTAAAAAAACAATTATTATTAGTTGTAATGCAAAAATACATAGACATTTTTCTGCATTGAATTTTTTTTTTTTTTTACATTCTTCATATCGACACCTTGATGAATTTTTAACAGATAAATTTGAACATAACACTTAAATATTTAGGAAAATTTTTAATACGCACATCTACAATGAACCTAATACACAATGTCAATGAATAATTGTTTTTACAGTTTACGTTAATAGAACTATTTACAATAACAGATTATCAAATAATAAATAGTATGCTTAGAACAAAAATAACTTGTAATGGACATGGATATATAACATTATTAAAATTAAAATTAGCCACAATAGGCATTCCCAGAAGTAAATATTTTTAATCCATATTTAAATGGACATTAGATACTTATAACTACAAAAATAACAGATGATTCCGGTGCCAAGAGGCAATAGTTGAATATTTGTTTTATATATTAGATGTTATACATTATTTCAAGATTATCATTTTTAATATTGAGATCATGTCCCTTAAAAGCTAGAAAATGTGATTTACATAATTATTGATACTGAAGATCACTTAGAAACTCCTCAGATTATACAGGTGAAATTACACATACAATGATTTAAAAATTTAACGAAATTATCAAAAATCATTAAAAAAAATGTCATAAGTTAAAAAAATTACTTGTGTCTTTACACACTCAAATCACCATAGCAAGTCAATGTGTTAATGTATATACTAACCACTAAATAACTTTTGAATTAAATCTTCAACCGCTAATTTATATACTTGGTCTTGAGAATGTTCAGGTGAAAATACATAATTAAAGGTAAATGTTAGATTAGGATTATCGTTCACAATTATCTGTTGGTTTTTAACATCAGCAAACACACAATCTGAACATCCACGATTTAATTCAGATTTTACGAGAGGACGAACACGGACAGCTACTCTAATAGAATCCATACTGTAAAAACGTTTTGTTAAAAATGAAATAGGCTATATAGGTTATTATACGTTTATATAACTAAAGTTTATAGAACAAAGTAAAACATTAAAAAAAAGATTGTTAGTAAAAAAAAAAAATTAATGACGACGATTGTTCCAGACGTAGACGACGGATAAGTGACGAACAAGACGATATAAAATTCAAATTCAAGAACGTTACTACTAACCGACGAAAACGGTTACGGTTACAGTGTGACCAGTCAAGTAATGCATTCCAATGAGTATACAAACCATAGACAATAACTATTAGATAATATATCTATGATGCAAACTAACGTCATTAATGTCCGTGGACTAACGTGCCATGTATTACATATACTAAATAATCGAAGAGTCTAACTATGATTAACGATATTTGGGCTTAATTCTAAATAATGACTAATGAATACTATGGGCACCATAATAATAGCCTAAAATTAATTATAAAATATCGAAGAGTCTCGCTAGAACCCTTTCTGTACGTAAGAAACAGCACACAAACACACAAATTGACCCGACCCGATAGCGAGACATTCATTTTTGACTCGGCCCTTGGACCTCTCACTCGCATGCGTTGGTTGTATGCGGAGTACGAGAGAGACAGCTAAAAATTGCAGTTTCGTGAGTCATTTTTCGTCTTACCTGATATTATATTATTATTATACGGACTGTACTTTCCGGCGTTGTGGCGATAACAGGTTTATATAATATAATAGTAATAACATTGATTATAAATACTATTTATAATCAATGATAGTATGTATACCTTTTCTACGAAACGCGAAACATGCATATTGTGGAGCTACCTTAGTTGTCATCGTAGTTATCAAAGTCATCAAAGTCGACAACTGCCGATCTAACGTAATCGCTATTACCTATAAATCTAAAAATAATTATCAACGAAATAAATGAACGGCTTGCCGCGAAGATTGCTGCAAAATAAAAACCTTATCACGTACTATTCAGTGGTGTAATTAGGAATTTGGTTTGGGGGGGATTATAGGTTTTAGCAAAATCTGTACACCTCATACAGTAACACCCCTACCCCAACAGAACAAATTTTTTTTTTTATTATAGTTGATTAAAAAATACAAATTAATATAAAATTATATATTTTATAACTATATTATACAATAAAAAATCTAAGTATTTATGATATTTAGGTAGCTTGAATAATTTTACAAAACTAGATCCAATTTCCTTGGTCATTTAGCAATATCATCTAATATATCTTCAGGATTAACTTTAATGTCTCTATGGACCGCCAACATACTTAATCCATTTAACCTATCTTAAAAATGATTTAAATAATTAAATTGTCAGTAATATTAATTTGAAATATAAATCAAATTTTAAGAGTTACTTATTTCAGTCATAGTATCCCGTAGGTATGTTTTAACTCTTTTTAGAGCTGAAAACATACGTTCAGGAGTAACGGTAGATACGGGTAATGTATGCGTATGTATAATAATATATACAGTGGCGTTTTCTCTGGGTGTGCAAGTTGTGTGTTAACGCCCTATAACATTAATATCATAACAT